CGGCGGAAGCAAAGTTGTACACCTGAAATATTACATATTTAAATATATATTAAAAATTTAAATATTATATTAATTCATAAATTATTAAAGATTAAATATTTTTTAAAAAGGTAAATATACATTAAAAAACAAGAAATTTATTAGAAAATTATATATTTATTACAAAATAATATAAAATACTTATTAAAAAATTAATTATTTATAAATAAAAGTAATATTTGTTAAGCAATTACAATAAATAATTATTAAAAAAAAATTATTAATAATTAAACTATGTTTTGAAAAACTAAATATTTATTAAAAATTTAAATATTTATTCAAAAATATTTAAAAAAAAATAAGTATTTATTATAAGTTTATATTTTTATTAAAAAATTAAATATCAATTAAAAAAAAATGATTAGAAAATAAAATATTTATTATAAAATTATAATATTTATTAGAAAATAAAATATTTGTAAAAAAATTAAACATTGATTATTAAGGTATATATATTGAAAAACTAAAAATTTATTAAAAGCTTAGGTAAATATTTATTGAAAATTCAAATATTAATTCAAAAATTATTAAAAAATGAAATATTTATAAATTTATTACATATATTAAGAAATAATAAAATGATTGAAAAAATAAATTATTTATAAAAAAGATTAAATATTATTAAAAACTAAATAATTATTAAAAAAAATTATTAAAATATAAAATATATTTTAGAAAATTAAATACTCATTAAAAATAAAATATTTGTTAAAAATTAAATTATATATTAGAAAAAGAAATATTTATTATAAATTTAATATATTTATTAAAAAATTAAATAATAATTAAAAAATTAAATAATAATTAAAAAATTAAATAATGATTAAAAAATTTAATAATTATTAAAAAATTAAATAATAATTAAAAAAATTAAATGATTATTAAAAAAGTAAATATATTTTCAAAAATTAAATATTCATTAAAAAAATAATTTATTAAAATTTTAATTATTTATTAAAAAATTAAATACATATTAAAAAATAAAAATACAAAAAATTATTCACATGGTTCCATCCAGGGTCGAACTGGAGACCTTCTGCGTGTAAAGCAGACGTGATAACCGCTACACTATGGAACCAGTTATCATTTTGTTGGCAAAGTAACGATATAAACATAAAGTGAAGCGTTCAGCTCATTTTATATGGATATGTACTAAGTATCGTATATACATATGTACATAGGGGAGCAAATATGTATACATGTATGTATGTGCTTTAGAAAGAACAAGCGAATGTTGGCTGAGCTTCGATTTTTTTGTACTTTCGTGCGCATAAAAAAGATTGAGTTTTTATATTTATATTTTTTTTTATTTAGTGCTGTAATGAGAAAACAAAAGAAACAAATTTTTTGCAGAATTTTGTAATAGTTTTTAAAATAAAATAATTTATAACCTTAGCTATTCAAAAAAAAACCTATAATACATATCTACATTGGCCACTTCAACAGCCAAGCATACTAAAAACTACAAATTTATGTGAAGACAAAAACAAAAATGGCTGAGCGGAAATGCAACTTTGCACATACATACATACTTGTCTCAACGCATGTAAATATATTCATTGTGAATTACAATCGCATGACTTCACAAAATCGTGATAATGATCTAAACTTTTCTCCGCACAAATTCATTTAGTGAAATGTAAAAATTTCATTTAAAAGTGAAATGGCAAGTGCAATTACCTGCTTAAAATAGGATTTACGCGAAAAAACACCGACAAATAAATCAACCAAACATGCAAATATAAATATAGAATGCTATTGACATGCATTATTCACAATAACCACCGACGAGTTCATGAATGAGTTGATGATAATATGTACATATGTACGTGTGTATGTGAATAAATACTTGTAAGTCATTATTGACCACCTGTAGACACAAACAAACAAATATTCATGCCGTGATGCTGTTAATTTTAATTAACTTTTGATTCACACTAATTGCACGTCAGTTGATATTTTTGGGGCGAAGAGAACACAGTGAATACACGCTTGGCCTTGCCATTGGGCAGGTGTGAGCAAAAAAGTAAAAAAGAACAAAACAAAAAAAATACTGTTACTACCTGTAATGATATGCATATGGATGCAATAAATTATATTAAATAACATATGCATGTATATATGTATGTATGTATCAATATTCAGTAACACACCCCTTCCGGTTTTTTATTCTTGGCAACAGTACAATTTATGTGCATTTTTTGGATTTTTTTTGTTTAGTTTGGGGAAAGCCCTCTGTCTTTGATTTATCGGTTGATACGAAGAAACCAGCTTAAGCAGTGTACTTCCACAATTGGAAGTTTCTTATGTTGTTATAGCAGTGGCTATCCAACCCCGATTAGAGACAGGCGTGGCTAGCGTAAGTGGGGAAGTGCAACAAGCGCACCGTTTCGACGTGCTCGGACCAAAGGGAAAAGATTGATTGGATGAGTAGATTTTAAGAGGCATGCAAAAAGCTGGTGAGTGCCTTGCTATGTGGTCTCATTGCATAGAGGAATTAGGTCGACTATAAAATCCAGACCTTAATTGTGACAGCATTACACGGATCTCTCAAGGTAGCTCGATCTCTTCGTTATCTGCGCTGGTAGAGAGTTTAAGAAGGTGTTTGCGAGCTCTACGCAGATGTGACCTGACTGTGCGCCGTTCTGTTCAGCGTTTTTTTTTTTTTAAATGGTTCAGAATGGAGACAGTGTAGTGCCTGGGTGAGTGGTGGTGGTACACCGTCAAGTAAAAGTATCTCGGAGTGCTCTCGACGGTAGCATACCAGCAAATATAGATTGCACGGCATAACATTATGATTCTTAAATCCTTGCGTAATATCTATACGCTGTGCAAGTGATGACCCGGTGAAATCGGTAGGTTTCCTGTCACGATCTTTAAGCCGTTTTTTTGGCAGGCTATTAACCTATGCATTTGAGTCTCGCTGGTTTCCGGCGCTCGGAGCTGCGTAGTGTACGGCCGACAAACCAATTACCTTGTATATTATGAGCAATGCATTACAGTCTTTCATCTAGAAGCTGCAGGCTAACGATTTAAGAATTTTTGGGCGGATCTGTACTTTGTAGCTTCTTCAGTCCTATGAGGAGTCAAGGAATACATACCGCCGAATGAGACTCCCAGTAACTTTGAGTTTGGAAGTTTTATCTCGAAACTCTACCGATGACTGTCGACCACTCAGGTAACCCATAATTCATCAGCACTGAATGGTTGACTGCGTCAAATACTTTTGAAAGATCCCGTGCTATCAGAACGATTCACTGGTAGGCCCGGTTTGGGTTAAGGCTACAGTGTGGGTATTTATGGCATAAAGGCGGTTGTGATGCTTTGCACTTTTCGAAAGCGTAGAGATATCGGTCGGTATGATTCTTAATTGTTAGCGGGTCTCCCCGTTTTAATTAACAGGATCACTCTACCGATTTTGAGGAGCGCTATAACGTTTGGAGTCGCTCCTTAAGGCTAAAACCGCCGCCTCATTGAGTATATTTGGGCGGATTTCTCGGATTCGTCCTACCGGGATGAAGCGAATTGCAGCGGATACGATTATTTTGCCGAATGTAAGTTCAGCTACGGTGACATCGGTTGATGTAAGGGGCGTTTTTTCGTAAATAGCGTGAAGACGGGCCAGTTAGCTTTGCTTAAGTTAACAAACGTTCGGTGGTTCACGGAAACAAAGTCGATAGACAAGGCAATCGGGACAAGTGGTTAAAGAATAGCGTCAGTAGAGATCGCCAGACAATAGCTCTTGCAATAGTTGTATCAGACGACATCGTCTAACCGAATAACTATGCTTTCTTCGGTTGGAAAGGAAATCTGGCAACACTGATTCCAGATTGCTTTGTAGCTCGTCGATCTGTATTTTGATTTTTTTTTATTGATTTTCGACTTCAATTTATGGAATTCTTATAATAAGAAGTTATCTTCCTTTACAGTATTTCACACAAATCAGACAAAAATGAAATTTCCGGTACAGAATCAGAACTCAACTTATAATAGTGAAATTGATTCCCACCACCATTAGCTAAGCCGGTGGTGCTGGTTGTACGACGGTAGCGACAATGTATTACAATCGTGTCTATCTGTCTGTCTGGCTGTCTAGCTGCATTATGTATATACATATATACGATTATATACTGCGAGTACGAGAGAGTAGTCTTCACGGAGTAAATTATGGATGCTACCCGCTTGAAAACTTCTCGACCAGCCAACATACTGTGTACTTGTATGTAGATACCTGTACATATGTACATACGTTAAAACATCCACTGCCTCGATCATCGTGGAGCAGAGACAGCGAGAATAATTATTTCGAAGCAATGGTAGGCGACAACGCCGAATCGAATGAGCTGTGGACAACAGTCTAATCAACAGCGTTGATCATTAAACAACGTGCTCGTAGAACGCGTAAAGAAAAGCGCTAAAATAAAGCAGAAAAAAAGCAATAATTTTTATAGGAAAACGTGTATATATTGAAAGAAAAGTAGAAAATCTGTGTGAAAATTCGCATTTCATTTGTACAAAAAGTGCTAAAAATAAATACATACGTACACATTGTACAAACATACAACCTGCGGGATCAATCAACCAGAAAAACTGTGCTAAATTAATAGGCGAAAAAGTTAAAAAGAAACAAATATATTGTGTTATTATACATATACAGAAAAATACATATTACTATATAATATACATACATACATATATAAGTACATATTGCAAAATAAAAAAAAAACTTGAAATTTCAAAACGAAAATATTATCTGTGAATTGTTTAGCACTCGTGTCTTATACTGATTTAATTGTGAAATAAATAATACGCGTATACATACATACAAACAAAAATTATCTGCTTCATACAAATCGATTTTTAAATATTTTATAAATTTTCCAAGATTATTGCAGGAAAATTTTTTTGCGTAATATTTTTTTTTTTTTTGTTAAAGAAAACGTGAAATTGTAATTTACAAATAGTGCTAAGTAATAAAAAAAAAAAAATAAAGTAAAAAAATATAAATCGCAAGCGTAAAAAGAAAACCTCAATCAGCCAAATCACAAAAAAACGCCTTAACTGGAACACAACGCGGCAAATACAATAAAACTCTTTGCAATTTCCAATGTAGCCGTTTGGGGATATTTAACACGAGCGCTCTTGTTTCGTGTTAAAAATATTCAATTACTTGAATATACATACATACATACATACATATGTACACAGTAATTTGTTGAAAATCACTTGGCTTTCGATTTCGATTTGAAAAAGTGAAAATTTCCGCAACTGATCACACATACATACATAATATACATACATACATATATGCATGCAATATTTCCGCATTAAAAATAAAAACGAAAAAAAAAAAAATTGTTTCTAATACCTCAAGAAAATATATTACCAAAAACAACCACAACTACAACACAGGCAACAAGTCACGAGAGTTTCGATTATTTTGGTAAGTGCAATGTTCAAATATACGTGTATGTATGTACGAGTGTAAACAGATATGTACATCTGCGTATTTATCTACCTGAATATGTATGTACATATATACATACAAACATAGCTATGCACGGATTAAAAGAATGTGCATATTAATTAGGTTGGCTTGATTTTGCAATTAATTTATACAACAAAACGAAATTGAAAGTAATTTTTTTTATATACATACACATGCACATTTATGATATTTTTTTCACCTGATTCCCTTTTAAGTGTCTTAACTTGAAAATTAAAAAAATATATTGACAGTAAGAAAGAAAAAAAATTTATTATACGTTTAACCTATTTAATTATTTTGTTTTTCATTATGAAAAATTAAAACGCATATTCGTGTGCTTAAAATCGCGTATTTTTTGTTTGTTTTTTGTTTTAACTGTACATTTGCTCTTAAATTGGGAAAAGAAGTCATTCTCCTTTTCAGAGGAATTTTGACAAAATCTATTGTATGAGTGAGAAAGTCTTTGAGAAATATCCAGTCATACGAATTTATGTACATTTAAACATATATGTATGTATGAATATGCATATATTTTCCCATTAGAATTATTTTTTCTTCCTTTTATAATTAAATAAATTTAATTGAAAAATATCGAAAACATAAAAATATAATAATATAATAAAATTAAAAAAATAAATAAAAAAAACTTAAATAAAATATATAAAATGAAAAAAATAAGTAAAATGAAACTAAAAAACAAATTAAGACTAATAAAACAAAATGATACAAATAAAATATAGCAATATAAAATAAAATAAATTTATATAAATTTAAATAAGGTTAAATAAATACATAAATTTAAATAGATTTAAATATAAAAAAAATTAACAAATAAAAAAAATTAAACTTAAATATAAAAATAAAATAAAAATAGTAACGAGAATAAGGCTAACTAAAACTTATATAATTAAAGAATAAACAAAAAATAAAGTATTATAAAATAAAATAAAATAAATAAAAATAAATAAAAATAAAAATAAAGTAATGTAAATAAAATAAAATTAAATTATTTTTTGTAAATTCAAATAAAATGAAAAAAACGAAATAAATTTAATTAAATTGAAATAAAATAAAATTAAATTAATTTAAATAAATTTAAACAAAATTAAAAGAACGAAAAAAAATTAAATAAAATAAAATAGCATAAAATAGAATAAAAATAATGTAATATGAAATAAAATAAAGTAATATAAAAAAATTAAGAAAATATAAAATAAATTTAAATATAATAAAATAAAATAAGAATAGAAATTAGAGTACTCTGTAGATGTAGATGATGAGTCGAAAATAAACTTCATGATCGGTGCTACATGAATCTTAACATATACCTTCCTTTATATCTACCTATGTTTTTCTAAGCGGAAACACTAGGTACAGAAAAGGGCTCTAACGAATTACAACGATATGATACAGAAAAAAGCCGCATATTCGAATAACTAAGCGGCATTTGTGGCAAGGTCTTGAGCTTGGTGATTGATCAAGTCCAAATCTCCGTAATCTGCCTCTCTCTCTAGTCGAACATATAACAATTGAAACTCGCAGATACCAAATCTTGAATTACTTTTTACAAAAAGCGTGTCAGTATATACATATATGAGACCTAGGTAGCCGGGTGGTTAGCATTGCGTACTGCCATTCGGGAGGCCAGGGTTCCAATCCTGGTATGATCAAGATCCAGAAGTTATAGGAACTTCATTTAAATAAAAAATTAATGTCAATCCCTCCGAGTGTATTTCTTATATAAAATAAAGCTCCTCGTAAAAAACCATCAGCCGTTCGGTGGCGACTTAGTGTAATAAGCTGTAGGTGTTGGAGAAGGAGCTTGGCCGAAAATCGCTGCAGCGGTTACAAGGCTATAACTATATACATATGATGCCCTTGTGCACGATCTCATAGACGCACGCTTTCTTTCCAGCCGATATGAGGCTTATTGTGAATAACTCCCTTTGGAGACTTACTGCGAATAAATCACATTAGGGTTTTTTTTGTGCTGTGGATTCCAAGCTTTATTCGCGAATAATTTTTATTAAATTAAATTAGCGGCTGACACTTGCTGAAGAAGTACTCTAAATAACAAAAAAAACTAATAGTGCATATATTCCTATTATAACACACTAACTGTATGATGGCGATCGTTCATTTCAGTGACAATTCACAGTTGAATAACAATTACTTACTTATTTACACTCCTTCAGACTTTCTCCACTAACTTCAATTGTTAGCTCGGGATAATATTGCATTATATTCACTTTATATTGCATCATTTGTCTTGTATGTATATATGTACTTACATATGTATTTCTCTGTACGTATGTATGCACTCAAAGCTGCTAACGCATCTTAAGTGGATCTCTTCGCATTTTCGTATTATTTGTTGGCTTTAAGTGATGTCCAAATCCCATGTGATCATTATGACTCAGGCGGAGTTAATACCCTTATGAAATGTAAAAAAAGAAATGCAGAAGAAGAAGAAGCAGCTTTAATTTGTTAAATTGGTCGCTTAATTGAGTATGTCAATATACTGTGTGTACATAAATGTGTATATATACGCGTACATAATACAGTATGTAAGCTTTATTCGAGATTATTTATCCATTTTGTTTATCTTTGCAAATATTTATGTATATAATATATTTAAGATGTTTTTTGGTTCATTTTTATTTTTTTATTTTTATTATACCTTTCACGTATATGAAATGGTATTGTATATTAACTTTAGTCCGAAGTATGTAAGTTCCAGTAGGTGAACAGTTGCCGAACGGGACAGAATTACGAGTTTAGTTGATTTAGCCATGTCTGTCACAGTTGTATTCCCAAATAATTATTTTCACCGAAATTCATCGAAATTGGGGGACTATATGATATAGCCCCCAATGCAACCGATTTATTCAGATATGAGGTTTTGGGTCAAAAATCCTCCAAAAAAGCTTCTAAACCCAAGTTTCCAGATATGAGAATTAATATTTAATCCTAAAATGAACTAACAATTATATACATAAATGATACTCGTATTGTCATGAAAGGCATAAAGACTTCGGCATGTTTTTTATTTTTATTATTATTTTTTGCTGCGATTTCTATTAAACATTTCCTAATTATAAAGGCAAATATCATGCGGTACTGCGCTACACAAACATTTCTAAATAACTGTAAATAAACACATTTTTAATGCGTAAAAAATTTAGGGAATCCCCGTAGAGTTGTCAAAGTTTTTGCTGTTCGGCACATTTTATTTGTGAAAGTTTATTTTTTTATTTAGCATCGTGGATTACAATAATAAATCGAATTTGGATAATATCTTACCAAATTACAAAAAAAAAAAAAAATAAATAAATAAATTAAAAAAAAACATATTATTTTTTTTACTTTTTTTATTTATTGTTATTGCTTCTTTTTTTTGATAATTATTGATCGTTCAGTTTTAAACTAAGATTTATCTTCTGTTAATTTTTTATAATTAAATTTTTATTTAACAAAATTTTCTCAAAAATGGTTGTTTGAGTTGGAAATTCCAAACTGACTTGAATGATTTATTAAAATCATGAAGTTACTTGTTATCCCTTAAGTGGGGTTTATTCAGTGGAAAAATTAAAAAGAAATATATATATATATATGAAATAATAATAATTAATATTTTATGTAAAAAATAATAATAATAAATAATATATAAAAAAAAATAAAATACTTTATTCAAATAATTTACTGTCTTTAAGATATATGTATATACATATACATATATATTAGTATTTGAAAAACAACTTCTGAATGTTTCAAAGAAAAAGTTTATATCTCCGTGCGTCTGCGTTGACATTCTAACTCATGCCAGTTCCTCATCCGATGCGAAAAGAAATCGTGTTTTAATTAATGCCATAAACTAAAATTTAGATGAAGAAAAATAAAAGAGTGAAAATTAAGTTTTTTTCGCAGTTTTTTAATTCAAAGTTTGGTAACATTTTTTATTGAGTAGTTGTGTTTGGAATAAAAGATCTTTCATCCTTCTCGTGAATTGTATCTCGAAGAACTGTTCATGATTTATCAAGAGAACTTTTGACAACCAACGTTGAATACATGGTTTCGAGAAAAACACACTTAGAGCGCACAGGTAGGCCCTTGAGCGCGCACCTTCTTAAGGTTGTATATCCGAAATTTTTTTTGAACTACATGTTCAAGAAATTAATAAGGCAATAAATTTTTATTTTACAGCTATGAAATCCTTTTAAAAGTTTGAATGCCATTTGAAATATATTTTTCGTCAGATTTTTGTCGCTTACATTTTTTTTTTTAAGAAAAAGCACTTGCCATCAGAGTACTTCAATTCTTGTCAACTCCTTAAATTTATATTTTTAGTATCGTCGGCATAACGCCAAGTGAAGCATTGATAAACCACTCAGACAGTCACTTAAGTGGTATTAAGAACCAAATATTTTTTTTTTTTAAAGAATTTATAGATTTTTCTCTCTAATTATCAGCCGTGGACTGGATGACCAGAACTGATAAAATTATTATCTTTTCACTTAATTTAAGATAAGAAGTCTAATGACTTGTATGTATGTATAAAAATGAGCACTTACCAAGTCGATACAACACTTTATATTTGAGACGACGAGTGTCTCTACTTCGTATGCTGATCCGATGAATAATTGGATATGCGTAGAGCATTACGTAGCTTTCAAACTGTCAAGTAAAAATGGCAGAAATTCGGACAATGTCTCTCAAAGTTTGAAGGTCATTTTTATTTTATTCATTTGATTCATTGCTTTTTTTTTGTTTTTGTTTTGTTTTGGTATTGAACTGAATATACGCAAGGCTTTGCAAAAATTTCCTATACCTCATTTCAAGATTTTCAGGTCAAATAACAACAACTTTCTAGGTTGCTATTTCTTCTCGCCTGTATTTAACTGCGTTTGGATGTAGATTAATTTTCCTATCGTAGTATATTTTTTTGTATGTCTTTT